AATGGTCGCACGTGTATGTATAGTTGTATACATCTTTTTGTATGTATTTTCATGCTTTTTTTGTGTCGTTAATTTAGGTCCTTCTGTTTGTACATATGTGGTATTTTCAGCAAAGTTTGGTATTATGTAGTATATTTTCTAGGTTTTTCTGATCCGATGTTTATATATATATATATTTGGGGTTTATATAAGTATACCAAATATATACGAACATATACAGAACATATACCGAACATATATATACTGAACATATACCACTTTCTGGGTTTATATTTGTATATCGAAAATATACCGAACATATACATAACATATACTGAAAATAATTTCAGATCCAGACGTCGAGTTTTTTATAAATGTTATTGTCGTCTTCCACCGATCAGAAAAAGAAAAAAAAAAACAAAGAGAGGGAGAGAGAGAGGGGGAGGATTTCACCAATAAAAAAAAATAACAGAGAGAGGGATAGAGAAGAATGGAGAAGAAGAGATAAGAAGGAGAGAGAAAGCCTACCTTTAATTATGCTAATCAGTTATAGCATACTTCGATTAGTTATTTTTTATACATTTAGTAATTATGCAATTAATATTATGCATGTGGTAATTTTGCAATAAAAAGTTATAGGGGTTGTAGAGAGTGTAATTTCCTCTTAAATAAATAATTGAGAGCCAATTCAAGCCTGAATAACGGACAAGCTGGGCTTCAAATTTTGGCTAAAATTTCACTACTTAAAATTAAAACTCAAGCCTGAATAACGGACAATTTGGTTTTTGATTCATATATTTTCAACTACTACTCTCTGAAACCCTTCTCTCTGAAAAAAACTCTTTTCCCCTTTCCCCGCCGCCTCGTTTCCTCCTCCTCCCTCAGCGTGCCCCCCCTCCTCCCCAAGCAACCCTCAGCCCCAAACCCAATTAACCCTGCTCGGTACCGTCCAGAGGCAGAGGCTCTTCCGCCTCCCTAGCTCCGCATCTCGTAGTGCCGCTCGTGCGAGTGGTCGCGGCCGAGAGAGTTAGAGAGTCAGCGGCCCTCGGGTCGTGTTGCCCTCTCCTGAGCTAGGGATGGTTCAGTCGTCTTGTCAAGCCCCTCTGCCTTGTTCGGACCATGCTCAGGCTTCCTGGCCGTAGACTGTCCTCTTCTCCAGGCTGGGGGACTCCCGGCGGTTTCGCCGCCGAATTTGGTTCCCATTGGGTTCGTGAGTTTGGTCCTCAGGCGATGCTCGGAGCTGATCCATTTGGGCCCTATTTTCTGCCTCGATTCGAGCTTTTAGATCTGGCATCGGTTCTTCCTAGCCACTACGGTGGAGTTTTTAGTTCAGGTGTCCGTGTTCTTGAGCTTTCAATCTTGTTTCGTGGTTTGTAGTTTGTGGATTCTAGCTTAGGGGTCGCCTGGGTTTTGTTGTGGGTTGCCTGTGCTAGTTGGGGAGGTAATAGTCTATTATAGGTGTGTGTTAGTTTAATTTAGTGTGTTTCTGCATATTTAGTTTGCTTGTTTTTGTTGTTCTTGGGTTGGGTTTTTTGGTGCGGCTTTCCGTTGGAGTCCTCTCGGCGTATCCCTCTCCTCCTCCAGCATAGATGATTTTTGGAGTCTAGATCTGAACCGAGAGCAGTCTCTTCTTCAGATCCGTCTAGGCGGCATGAGTGGTCGCAGTTTTCGGGCTTGAGGTTCCGGTTTATGATTTTGTTGGATCTCTTTGCTAGTGGATGTGGATCGTATGTGGTCCCCGATTTTAGTTTATTTGTTCATTAGGTTTTTTTTCTGATTTGTTTTTTGGTTTGTTTTTATTTTAGTGTTTTGGTTCATTTAGTGCAGCTTTGTCTGCTTTTAGTGCAGCTTTCTGCTTTCAGTGCAGCTTGTCTGCTTTTAGTCTCTTTTTAGAATTTTGTTTTTAGGTGTTTGCTTCCTTGATGGAGTTTGTACCCCCTTGTGTGTGTTAACAAGGGGAGTTGGTCCAGTCTTCTGGTTCCGGTGTGTTATTTGACACTCTTGTTGTACTCTTTTGAATAGTTCAGTTATTAATATAATTGTCGTTTGAAAAAAAAAAATAAATTAAAACTTGTCAAACTGTGCCATGCAATAACTCTCCCACAAGTCACAATTGCCTAATCAAGAGTATATAAATATTATCTCCCAAAATAAATATATAAATATTATCTCTCAAAAATTTTGTTGAGTCATCATATTGATTTCTTATAGAGTCGTCCACCATTTAATATATTGACACTTATTCAAATTGTATTTATTATAGATCATGTGTCAATGCACTATTGATAAATAAATATTGATAACTCTATAAGTCGGGCATCAAATGACTCCATAGCAAAACCGTATTATCCTCTACCCGATAGAGATGAAGTATTACTATATATATTTACACACTACACGTGAACTTTCTCGCAATAGATTATTGTTGAAACATATGTCTGTCGTTGTCACGTAGCCCTTGTCTTTTCAACCATTGAAAATGAAAGATATATTTTTTTTGGTATAAGGACCTTCCGGTTTTCGGATCTACATGGGAAAATAGTTGCCGTGTGATACTTGTGCGCCCCTAAAATGTCTAAATTATTATGGTCAAATGTCCCGTTGGTGCCTGGTCGGTTATGTGGGTACTCAACTTTGTGGTTCACGATAAACTGGAAATCACGCCAACCAATAGCCTCTCACTATATGATACACCCTGGCCCCACTAAATTTATCCATATTATTATATAGCATGCCTGGTTGGTTGGTTGGTTCATTTTTCCTATCGCATAAAATTGAACATGATTTAATTTTTTGGTAATAATTATAATAATTAAATGAAGATTATAATATGTTAGTACCACAAATACCTGAAGATACTCCCAAGTCTTTGAGGTTCTAAACCTCATAATGACCTGAGCAAGACCCTGAGGTCGAGCCGCCTGGGTGCCGACGTGCCCAGCTGTCTAGACGCCGAGGTGCCTAGTTTCCTAGGCGATCCCATCCGCCTAGCTCACATCGAGCTAGGCTCCACCTAGCACCTCTCTACTCCAAAGGTACCATAAGCCACGCCTAGCTGATTGGGGTACGCCTAGCTGGTTGAACCACGCCTAGCTAGTCCTCTCAATACAATAGCGACAACCGAATGACGACCGATCCGAGGCTAGCCCCTACTAATGGCCGTATCATAATCAAATGATATTTATAAATGTTTATGCAACGTGACAATATTATTGTGAAGGCGGATAAACTAGAAAACAAAGAATTTACAACATTAGCATCCTTTTTAAAATTAATATTATTATACGAAATTAAAAAATGTGGAAAAAAAGTATGTGTGTAAACTATACAATTATAATAGTGGTCTTGTTTGGTAACTCGAGAATTGTGTTAGCTGTTTGGACCAGTAAATTGCGTTAGCGGTATGTAAAAGAATATTTGGTAAAATAAATTATTTTAATTAATTGTTTGTGTATATAAATTACTTGAAAATGCATTAGTTGTTTAGCTAGGATACATTTATTTTTGTAATTTTTTTTTTTTATTTGAACACTTAGAGAATTAAACAAAATTGGATAATTAGTTATGCATAATTTCTGAAATGACAAATTAGTAAATCAAACATTTTTAATTAAAATAAACATATTTGCACAACTTACTATCATTTAGTGAGATTTTTTTTTTTTTTCCTTT